GGTGGGGAGGGAAGGGGCTGGAGGGGGAGGGTCTAGGGCTGGGGGATACTCGTGTGACCCAGGAGCCCCATGGCCCAGCCATGCCGCTCTGGGCACCGTCCCCCGCTGGGTAAGGCCGCAGCGGGACGGGCGTGGGGCAGCGACGTTCAGGGGCACGCAGCCCCCCAGCCACCCGGGGGGGGGGAGTCTCGGCGCTCACCCAGCCAAGCCCAGCAGGGAGCTAGACAAGGACCCACCAGCTCGCTGCTGGGCTCCAGCTTCTAAACAAGACTTGGGTGCCCCCCGCCAGTGGGGCAGCCCCCCCAGGGGTCCCACTCTTCCTTCAGGGCAGACCCCCCCCCAGCTCCAGCCAGATTCCAAGCCTTGGACCCCGGAAACTATTAGCCGAGCAGCGTTTGGGACTGAGCAGAAGGGAAATTGAGGCACGCGTTAACACCCCCCCCTTGGCAATGCCCGCGCCGTCGCTCCTTTCCACGACATGGACGAGCCAAGAAGACCTTGACAGGGTTGGGGGGAGACTGACGGGACGGATTTAAATTCACCAGCCGCCCCGGTGGTAGCAGGAGCCCGGGGCCGGCACCGTGGAAGAGGAGACGGGGCAGAAGACGGTGGACACTCGGCCGGCGCCAGTGGAAAGCGGCTCCCAGCTCTCCGGGCTGGCCAGGCGCCGGCCAGCAGGGGCAGGGGAGAGGGAATCCCTGATCAGCCAGGAAAGGGCCCGGCTAGGAAGGCCAGGCGCGAGGTGGCCGGATGTGGCTTTCTTGGCCTGCGGCCTGGTGTGGCCCGTCCTGGGACGAGCTCTTTGAATCTGAAGGGCCGGGTGGGTTTCCCCAGAGCTGCGACACCATGTGCTACTGAGGGGGGGACCAGAGGAGAAGCTGGTGAGAAGGGAGGGAGGATGTGCAGGGGGGGCTGGAGGTCCAGGGAGGGGGGATTCACAGTAGGGGGCACAGACAGGTGGGACAGACCTGGGCTCCTAACTACAGCTCTTCTGCGCCTCCCCCATGTAGATGCTCCTCCACCAGCAAGGCGTAGAACCCAGGAGTCCTGGCTCCCAGCCCCCCCCCCCCACCGCTCTAACCACTAGACTCCACTCCCCTCCCAGAGCCAGGATAGAACCCAGGAGTCCTGGCTCCCAGCCCCC